CTTATTATATCTGAACGAATTTTCATGAAATTTTAGACGGGATTTTTCTTACTTAAAATTTAAGGTAAATATTTAGCTTATTTTTATATTAATAGATGAGCATTTGGTCGAGTTCATGTATGCTTAGCAAACTTTGGGTTTGGTATGCCATCTTTTTATCAACATCAAAACAACAAGCCTAAAATGACAATTAAAGATATTAAAATCTACCTAAAATGTTCATATAGCACTCTTACACTACTTATAGTATGCCAATAAAAGCATGAAAAATAGGACATACTATACAACATGTTCACTCCATTTTTCTAAGATTTTTGAAAAATTACGATCTTCAAAATACAATCATACACAAATCATCATAAATAAGTCAAATAATAAAAAATGCAATTAAAACTAATGACAAAAATAATCCATAAATCAACCATCATAAACACCAGATGTTAGTACATTTAGAATTATAAAAACTTTCTAGAGATAAATAAATAGATATTTGTAGATGTAAAACTTTATAAATATATAAATAAATAAAAACCTGTAGATGCATGACGTAACTTTCCTAAATATATACAATTAGAAAAAGCACAGTAGCTTAGACCATTTTGATGGGCTTATGAGCTCGTCAACTAGTGCTTTTGCATATATTATGATGGGACAATACAATTCCAACATGAGCCCCATAATCATGATTGGGCCTGCACCATGGACTATCTTGAGCCCATTAAGCCNAATTAACCTCATAAAAGGTTGACATTAGAAATTTTTCACAGTAACTTGATAAATTGGAGCGATTATTCAATTTTTTGAATTAAAAAAAATATTTTTCAAATATTTTGGTATAGTAAATTAGTAATACATTCAACAATAGGTTGAGCAACGTTGCGGATTGGAGCAAAAACCGCACCAAATCGAATGAAACTACAACCAAATCACAAGACCGACTCGATTTTTTGTTTTCTTTCGATGATTCTATACTTTTTTCATTATTTTGGTTCTATTCGTGCAAAAACCACACCAGCTAAAAAAATAAATAAATTGAATTTGTTTTTTAAAAAAAATGTATCTCACGAGGATGCACTAAAAAATCAAATTGAAAAAGCATCAAATATATGGCTCAACTCAGCTTTTTTTGTTTTTTAATTATTACTTCTGAACAATTTTGCTTCACCCATATTCAACAAGATCCAACATGTTTTGAAATTCAAATGTGTTAACAAGATCTGAATATTCAATGTAATTATGATCCAAATAATAAAAGCTTACGTATGCGACAATCAGAAATTTTATGGAATCATCCGATGACTTCTTTATGGAGCAATCCATAATTTTATGTACTGACACGTGTCCAATATATATTTATTGTAGGACAAATGTCAATATATCAATATGCTATGGATGACTCCATAGCAAAACCGATGCAACAATGTTTCATATTTTAAGCTTATAATCACCTCAGAATCTAAAAACAAGTGCCATAAATCACCGAACAATTAACTTATAATGACAATTAATCATTGTTTAAGAAAGTCGGGCACCATGATGTCACCCTTACTCATTATATCATTTTAGTTTATGGAATTTCCATTTATCTTTTTTAATCATGGCTGATAATAATTAGATTTCTTCCAATTTGGAGGCATCGAATCATCAAATGAATCTCCCATTACAATTAAGAAATTATCAATGATTAATCTCCTCTCTTAATTAAAATTTGGAGTCTCTGGATCACTAATCACTGTATTAATTTAATTAAACCCCTTATTAGGATGTTGCTGACCGGCTTCCCGCTTTTACGCAATCAAAAGGAAGCTTCACAAAAAGCGTTTTCGTAAATCACTTCACGAGATTGTGACTTTTAGTCTAATCAAATAAAGCTGAGCCACAAATTATGTTACGAGTTGAACTTCAATTATCAAAATTTGCAAGAGTTAATAAATAGCCTAAATTATGAAAATTAGTTAGTTAGATATAATTCATAATTTATAAGTCTCTTTTAAATATTGAAATACTATTATATATATTTTGGTTTAGTTCTTTTGTATTTTCTCATGAAGAAAGTCCAATGTACAGTCATGAGTCAACCGATGNTATTTTTTTTAAAAAAAATATTTAAAAAATATTATAAAAGTTATAATAGGTTTTTTTTTTAAAATAATAAATAAAACGTATTTTTATAATACGTTTTATATAACAAAATTAATGAAAAAAATTAATATTTAGTATGTATTTTGTGTTTCGAGCTCGTTTGGGATCGTCTGAACTCGGAATTGAGTTTCGCTTTTTCCTATACGTAGCTAACGACCCCCTCTATTCAATGATGCTTGCATGACCAAATTATTCTTGAAATCTCTTGACCGACGGAACACCCGAAATCTCCTCTTCTCGCTTATTTTGCTACTATTCTCACGGGAATTCAAGTTTCTCTAATTAAATGCTCGGAACTCCGAAATACTTGATAAATGCCTCGCATGACATCATGCCTGAATTATCTACACGCCCCAACTCGATTCTCGGTAAACCGAAGTCACACGCGACCTTGCGGTACCCACGTAAACGGCATTTTCATTTATTTTACTAATATGCACCCTCGAACTCGAGCTTCTCTAAATAAATTATCGGGACCTCGAAATAATAAATCGACGCCATAACCGGATTTTCCTCTTCTCGTGCTTTCTCGAAAGCACTTTTTGTTAATGCTCGACTCGCTTATCGAGGCCCGACGGAACACCCGAAGTCTCCTCTTCTCGCTTATTTTACTACAATTCCCACGGGAATTCAAGTTTCTCTAATTAAATACTCGGAACTCCGAAATACTCGATAAATGTCCCGTATGACATCGTGCCTGAATTATCTACACGTCCCAACTCGATTCTAGGTAAACCGAAGTCACACGTGACCTTGCGGGACCCACGTAAACGGCTTTTTCATTTATTTTACTGATATGCACCCTCGAACTCGAGCTTCTCTAAATAAATGATCGGGACCTCGAAATAATAAATCGATGCCATAAACGACTTCTCCTCTTCTCGTGCTTTCTCGAAAGCACTTTTCGTTAATACTCGACTCGCTTATAAACGGCTTTTTCATTTATTTTACTAATATGCACCTCAAACTCGAACTTCTCTAAATAAATGATCGGAACCTCGAAATAATAAATCGATGCCATAAACGGCTTCTCCTCTTCTCCTGCTTTCTCGAAAGCACTTTTTGTTAATACTCGACTCCCTTATCGAGGCCCGACGGAACACCCGAAGTCTCCTCTTCTCGCTTATTTTGCTACTATTCCCACGGGTATTCAAGTTTCTCTAATTAAATGCTCGGAATTACAAAATATCTCGATAAGTGCCCCGTATGACATCGTGCCTAAATTATCTACACGCCCCAACTCGATTCTCGGCAAACCGAAGTCAAAGTCGACCTTGCGGGACTCACGTAAACAGCTTTTTTAATTTATTTTACTAATATGCACTCTCAACCTCGAGCTTCTCTAAATAAATGATCGGGACCTCGAAATAATAAATCTATGCCATAAACGGCTTCTCCTCTTCTCGTGCTTTCTCGAAAGCACTTTTCGTTAATGCTCGACTCGCTTATCGAGGCCCGACGGAACACCCGAAGTCTCTTCTTCTCGCTTATTTTGCTACTATTCCCACGGGAATTCAAGTTTCTCTAATTAAATGCTCGGAACTCCGAAATGCTCGATAAATGCCCCGCATGACATCGTGCCTGAATTATCTACCCGCCCCAACTCGATTCTCCGTAAACCGAAGTCACACGTGACCTTGCGGGACCCATATAAACGGCTTTTTCATTTATTTTACTAATATGCACCATCGAACTCGAGCTTCTCTAAATAAATGATCGGAACCTCGAAATAATAAATCGATGCCATAAACGGCTTCTCCTCTTCTCGTGCTTTCTCAAAAGCACTTTTCGTTAATGCTCGACTCGCTTATCGAGGCCCGACGGAACACCCGAAGTCTCCTCTTCTCGCTTATTTTGTTACTATTCCGACAGGAATTAAAGTTTTTCTAATTAAATGCTCGGTACTCCGAAATACTCGATAAATGCCCCGCATTACATCGTGCCTGAATTATCTACACGCCCCAACTCGATTCTCGGTAAACCGAAGTCACACGCGACCTTGCGGGACTCACGTAAACGGTTTTTTCATTTCTTTTACTAATATGCACCCTCGAACTTGAGCTTCTTTAAATAAATGATCGGGACCTCGAAATAATAAATCGACGCCATAAACGGCTTCTCCTTTCCTCGTGTTTTCTCGAAAGCACTTTTTGTTAATGCTCGACTCGCTTATCGAGGTCTAACGAAACACCCGAAGTCGCCTCATTAAATAAGCTAATATATAGCGAAAAATGAAGAAAATTAAATATAAATAATTAATTTTTTTTGTAAAACGTATTACCATAATACGTTTTACAATTAATTAATTGCAAAACGTATTACCGTAATACATTTTACAAATAAATATAAATTATAAAATTAATTTAATTTGTAAAACGTATTTTTGAAATACGTTTTACAATTAATTGTAATACGTACTACGGGAATACGTTTTAAATTATAAAATTAATTTAATTTGTAAAACGTATTTTTGAAATACATTTTATAATTAATTAATTGTAATACGTATTACGGGAATACGTTTTACGTAATACGTATTACGGAAATATGTTTTACAATTAAATGTAACTTATAAAATTAGTTTTATTTATTAAACGTATTATTGAAATACGTTTTAAAATTAAAACGTATTCTCAGAATACGAACTTTTGATTTTGGTCCACATTTTAATTTTTCTTTTTGTTTTTGTCCACTTATTTTTTTTAATTTTTATTTAAAGAATAAAATCATATAAGATAGGTATTGTGTCAACACCAACAAAAAATAAAAAAAGAAAATCATATAATGCAATAAATATAATTCAGTTTTATATTAATGAAGTAATT